GTCTTGCTTACAAAATGGCTCTACCTCAAGAAGACAACAAGTTAAATCGTTACTGTACATTTTGGAAGAATGGTCTTCATTGGTTTAATGGTCATGGTGTAGGATCACTGGTAGAGATTGTGGATGAGAGCCAGTGTGTACTAGTAATGATGTCCTGTAAGGAAGGTTACAGTGACAATATGGTGTCTCTAAGAAGAAATGTGATAGGAGAGGTAATGAGTGTTTATAAAGAATCTTGTCCCAGTCTAGAAGTAAAAGAGTTAGTTATTGATTCTAAAGAAATAGCCTATCCTGTGAATACACCAAGAGAAAGGACAGTGTATAGTGTAAAAGCTGTACTCTCAGCAATTAAGGAAGGAAGACCATTTCTTGTGACTGATAAAGGACATAAAGAAATAAAGAAGATCCTTTCTAATGAATCATTATCAGATATTAGTAACCTGTCACTATTAGGAGGACGTGATATTAAGGTAAGTATTAAAACACACACAAAAACTGTTTGATACATAATAACATGCAAGCACCAATAATCAAAAGGTCGTAATTATTATTTTTACTATCAAACTACTCAGTCGTTGTCATAATTGTGGGTTATCATTGTGTGGCTTTTACTACTGTTTGTACTTGTACATCTGTTAAACTCACCTTTAGTGACAAATATGAGTTATATCATCATATTATTGTATAGGAATTGATTGAAATGAGTGAAGAATCCATCACAGTAACTACAACAGAGCTAGGTATGTTATGATATGTAGTGTGAGCGTAGACTATAATTGTTTCATATTAATACTCTTTCACACTGCACAAACGAACTGTGTCATTATATAGAGCCAACAATTGAAAAGGTCATATCAGCTCCAGATTACTCAGCCACACAGATCAGTAAGTCCAATGATGATCAACAAAAAGGTATAAGCACTCACTGTCACTAGTTTCACATTATTTATTTATTTATTTACTTATAATACTGTAGTTATATTGACTATCAGGGATCTGGTTGAGATATTACGAGTTTTAAAAGATGGTAACTTTCAAACTATCAAATGGTTTGATCTTGGTCTCTACTTGGGTCTAATTCATGATGATCTGAAGATTATTGAGGATAACTATCCACGAGATGCTAAGCGATGTCTCAGAGAATGTTTAGCATTATGGCTCAAAGATGATACTGAAGCAACATGGGACAAACTAGCTATTGCTGCTGGTGAAGTAGGAGAGACATCAGTTGCTGAATATCAAGTCAGATTGCAATTAATTATAATAGTTATTATTGATTATTAATAGGATCAACAAAGTTAAGAGCTTTAATGATTTTGAAAAAGGAAGTCCCAGTTGGTCATCATTAGCTATAGCACTGGATACAATAGAAGAAAAATCTATTGCTTCTTATATTAGAGATAAATATTGTCCATCCAATTAGTTGATTGAACTACATGTTGCTCATCTGTTTAGTTGTTTTATTTGATAAATTATATATTTAAAGATTAAATGAACAAGACAAAGCAAGCCAAGCTGAGCATTATGTGGGCAAGCCAAAGCAAGCCCTAATAAGAGGAAAAAGCAGGAAGGGACTAAATCGCTTCTGTCTGTCTGTACAGGTAGTTGAAAGTTGCAAATAAATCATAAAATGCGATAATTTTATTTTTCAATTATTTACTTTTTTAAAAGCTCCAGCAGCAATTTCCCTAGCTCTTCTCATCAGTGATATCT